CAATGGGTGTTTTCAGTGAGACTTCATGAATGTTTTTTACGGTCACTGTGATTTCTCTTTGTGGTTTTCCTGTAAAATTAGTGTTTAAGCCAGTTTCCATGCAAACAAGCTTTGTCCTTTAGAGGGATATTCCAGCAAGAGATATTCCGGCGTAAAATTAAGTTATGGTCAAACACACCCTAACACAGAGTTAGATACCCCCTCCAGAGATGAATGTTGCCAACTGCTTGCTTCTCTAGTTAGGCCAACTTTAGTCACGACCGCATGATAGCAATACACAGCATGTCTACGTCTCCACACTGAGTCACCTAGAGCTGCAGCCCATTTCCATTAAGTAATAATCATCATTATAATCATTTTTCACTGCAGACGCAGTAGTTCTTCTACCTTAGCATCTCAGTCTGTTAGCATTTTCATGAAGTAATAATCATAAATGTTCTTACTTGAGCTGCGAAACTCTGCTGCACTCGGTGATCGACTTGTCAGGGCTCCCCCACAAACAAGCGGCTGCTGGAGGAGAATGGTTGAGTTTGTGTTTAGTCTCTTTGCTAGAAAGAAAGAAATTAGGCAAAGCTAAAAAGATGTTTGATGGCTAGTACTATGGCTGGGACCATACATGTACTGTTGATGAAGTTAGGTGCTGTTCTGAGCATTATTTGTGGCTATAGAGTGGCTTTTTGGTTGAGGTTTGTGTGTGGAGATGTAGACCACTGTGTATTGCTATTGTGTAGTCTTTACTAAAGTTCGATGAACTAGAGAAGCAAGCGGTTGGCAATATTCATCTCTCGAGGGGGTGTTTGTCTTATGGTGTGTTTGACCTTATCTTAAATTAACGCCAGAGGATCCTCTCAAGGTTGTTATTCAGTATCTATAGTTGCATGTGTTTTTCCTCAAATATATAAAGGTGTAGCAGCCTGCCATTGATAAGTGCTTTAAGTGTTGAATACAAGGTTTAAGCTGGAGTCTCTTTCAAAATAAATAAGCAGTTATCAGACATCTCATGATCAGGTTTCCACAAGGCCCCTATTTAGGCAGCCATGGTCTGGACTTGGTAAGTTTTCCTGAGAAAAGTTTCGCCTCTACAAGGTCAATAAGGAATCCTGTCCACCAACAATGAGCTTATCTAAGAGCACATCCACAGTGCTGAGAATATTGAGAGAATTTGCACACCATTTCTAACACACACACCCACACATCCTGGTAGTTATCTATCCCTCCCAGCTGTGGGCAAACTAACTAGAGTTACATCACAGCACAGAGAGACACCTGGGTGTGCTTTACATAACACACGCACATACAGAGGCAGAAAAGTGCACAAAAGCAAGCATCCACTGTCAAAGTGCTCACATCTACATGCACATACCATACACAGCAGTGTAGGTGCTGGTTTGCAGGTCTGGAGCAGGAGAGATAAAATTAGGACTACGTGGGTCTGAGTGGGCTGTGTCTGCGCATCTGTGGAGTGAATCAGCACTCAGACAGTACAGTATCTGGCTAGCTGTTTAAGTGATTCTGTTTGTCTCATCTGTCTGTACATGACCAGACTGGACAAGCAGAGCCATTCTTCTAAGAGTCTCCTGTCTTGGAAAGCGCCGAGGGTGAGAGCAGCTTCACATTTACAAAAACAGTTCCAGTAAGGCTGTGCAAACTGTACATGTTTTCTGTTAACACACTTGGAACATAAACACGTTTTTTCAGTGCATGTCTGAGAGCTGATGAAACAAAACTGGGAAATCTTCTTACTTTGTTTTCCAAACACCGTGAGAGGGAGCTAGTTTTTCTATATCTAATTTAAGTCTGGTTTCATTTCTTGGAAACTAAAGCCCAGTCTGTAGAGTGGTGAACACTGGTTTACTGATTTAGGACAAAAAATGAAATATAAATGGTCAAAACCATCAAGTATTCAATTTTAGATAAGGCCCCTTTATATTTGCTCTACTTTTCTCTCTTGGCTTCTTTCTCCAACCTGTACCTCATTTGTCCTCTATTTGTTCCTCCAAGTTTGGTTGCACCTTAAAACATCATGAAGTAAAGAGCTTGTAACGGAATATGTGGTTTCAAACTAGGCTGGAAAAAGGCAGCATAAAAAGTGTTTTACACTCTGGAATAAGAAAACCTCTCTAAAAGCCAGTGGCAGTACCCTCTCAAGGGCAAGTGCCAAGGATGAAGTCAAGGCCTTCATTCACAGTCCAGAGGAGGTGTTGGGTTGACATTCACTGGAATCAGGGGATGTCTAAAATATGGGATAAAAAAGTGTAACAACTATAAAAGAAACAGGTCAGCTGGTAACCTGGCGCCGGTTTTAACAGGTACTGACATCTGGTAAAGGGGTACCAAAGCAAAGCTAGCATGTGCCTCTATTTCTTATTCTCTTGGGTAAATGTCTTTAGTCATTTCCTCAATAATTGAATGTATGGCAACAAAGCTCTTCCAGGTGGAGGACTAAGCTCCTCTGTTAGACGTAGGAAAACACTTCTGTATGGAGCCTCAATCATAGCGTTGAATATAACAAGTCTCAAGAGGAATAGTCGAGCCTCTTCCTCATGAAAAATCACAGCTCTGATCTTTTCATCAATGGACTCAGGATGGCAGCGCCAGAAAATGAAGACGGCAATCTTTTCCTCCTGCACATACAGGCTGAAACCTTCAGGGAAAATCAGTTAATGGAGCATTGGCAGGTCTCAAAAGCTTATTTTGACTCCTGGATGGTAATTACCTGCACACAGATCAGCATGAGTTGCATGATGAATGGCTGTGGCTCAGTGGTAAAGTGAGCTGTCCATCAAGCAGTAGGTTGGCAGTTTGTTCCCAACTCTTGCATTCACATGTCAAAGTATCTTTGGGCAAAGGGGGGGTAAACCCAAACCCTCCTGCAAGAGGGGGGCGATGCGACTCAGCGGAGCGCAGCTCGGCAGGCTTGTCAGCACAAGAAGGCCATTAAACACAAATATTGTACTCAGCAAACCACCGGACGTTGATTAACGTGGACGCTCTTAAATGTTCCTGTTTCCAGCTGGTCTCCAGTGGGTTGGGTGAATCCAAAATGGGCAGCAGTAGCTTAGGAGGTAGAGCTGTCGTCCAATAACCGGAAGGCGGTTCCATTCCCCTCTATTCCTAGTCTGTCCGTTACATCCTTGGGCAAGACACTTAAGCCACCTTGCTCCCAGTGTGTGTCCTCCACTGGTGTGTGAATGTTGTGTGGTGGTGGTCGGAGAGGCCGTAGGCGCAAACTGGCAGCCACCACCAAGGTGTGACTGTATGAGCAAATGAATGATGTATCCAATGTAAAGTGCTTTGAGGGTCTCTGATAAAGCGCAATATGAAATCTAATGCATTATTAAAACAAGGGGGGTGCTCTGAAAACACTCCCACTAGAAGTTGATACATTCCTCCTGATGAAATGAACTATAGACTGTAACCAGTTAGAATTTTGTCAACCAATTAGAATTTTGGTTGACTCAGCATGTATTGACCAATAAGTCGACCAGTTGACTAGGACTTTAAAGCCCTAATCAGAGCTGAGCACACATCTGTCTTTCTTTTATCATAACTGTTAGTGTGAACATTATTTTAAAAAACTATTGTATAAACCTTTAATTGGATTTGATACTTGAACACCATTATTTTTGCATTGCCTGATTTCACTGCAGGAACACAGTGGCAGCAAGGCTCAGTGATATGTTGGTTGCGGATGACCTGGCTATAAAAGCCAGCTGTTGTACGTGAATGAGTCTATGAAGAGCTGTTTCAAAGCCATAAGAGCGTAAGTGTTTGTGTTTGCTTGGATGAGCAAAACGATCTGGATCACTCAAAAATGCCTGACTTCCCATCACTGGGAGTATCCATGCTGTGGTTGTTTACCAGAAAAAGAGTGACGATCCAAACCCTGCTCTTGCATGATAAGATCAGATGGACTGCAGATAACTTGAGCGAGGGCAAATGGCCCTCATGGATTTGTAGATTTGAAGTAATCTGAGGATCTGTATGGATGAAATGTGTTCGGATTAAATCTTTTACTGGATTTGGATTGTGGCAACCCTCTCTGTGTGGGGTGTAGGACTTTCAGCAGGTTTCATATCAACATAAATGTGAACTTCAGTTGATTTTAGCTGAATCAACTGATCAGTGACTTACTGGAGTTAATGTTTTTGAGATTAAACAGAGTCAAATGTTTGATTAACAGTGCCCACCTTTGCAGTTAATGCCTCAGGAGACATTAAGCCAGACCCCAAAGATTATCCAAATATAAACCTAACTTGCTTTAAGGTTACAAAGAATTGATTTTGGAAGAAATGTCAAATATTTAATCTTTCTATTCAACTCTAACACCAAAGAAAGCAGGACGGATGTCAGAGAAAGACTCCAGACTTCCTCTACATCAGACAAAGATGAGTACCTCTCAGTGTGGAGTCACTGCCAAGTGGGTCCAGTGAAGTGGAGTAATGACTTGTTAGTATTTGGCATGTTTTATGTGAAGATATGAAAAAGAAATGAACAAGAAACACGAGCCAAAAACTTAAACTAAGAATGAAATTTGAGCTACATCCTAGTTAAAAAAAAATATATATATATGACAACACCCTAATTTTCCTTAAAATAATTCTTGAATAAAGTTTGGCGATAGCTACTTTAAAAGAAAAACATGCTTTACTAAAATAAATGCTCTGAAACAAAAGAAGTCCATTTCCAAATGCTATTTTTGGGCACCTAAATCATTTATATGCAGGCATATTAGATATGCAGAGCAGCACAGCTTCTTGCAAGAGTGCAGAGTTCAAACAAGCCCAAGTCAGTCTCCAAAGCGAAGCATAAAATCAGTCTAAAATTTCCTGCTTTCATTTCTTTTCTGACACAGGAACCATGAAGGTCAGGTAAAGATGTAGATAAAGTTGAGGGACCTTCCATTAGAAGGCCACAGAGCACCTTCCCTCGGGTGAAGTTAGCAAACCCTGTCAGGATGAAAACAAAACAACTAGTACTGTCACAATGAGATGTTTTCTGCGTAAAGGTAGTATACATCCATTTATCCTGCTCATTTAAATGTAGCCAAAAATATATATTTAATTGAAGTTGAAATTTATTATTATTATTTTTATTATTATTATTATTATTAGCAGCACAACTTATGAGCAAGTGAGGTGTCCAAAAGTTACTGGAAGTCACTGCAGATTTCTACTTGCAAAGGATCAACCGATGTGGCTGAAGGGTGTGAGACTGTCAGATTTTATCTTCACAGACACACAAACAGTTCACACCCTGGTACAGTGTGTGTGTGTGTGTGTGTGTGTGTGTGTGTGTGTGTGTGTGTGTGTGTGTGTGTGTGTGTGTGTGTGTGTGTGTGTGTTAAGAGTTTTCACAGTAAGGAAAGTCAGTGCCGAAAAAGCCAAACTTCCTTCCTGTCTGAGCGATATCACAGGCCAATGATAACACACAGAAGCGCCCACACACACACACACACACACACACATATGTATGTACGCACCCACGCACGCACGCGCATGCACACACAAACTCTCTGGTTTCATTTGTTTTCCTCACTCCTTCAGAAAAGAAAAAGACATAAGCAATTTTGCATCTTAGCAAAGAAACACACATTTGAGGCAGAAGTCCTCCCATACTCCATCACAGTTCACTCTAAAAAATAAGTTATTAAGTTTTCTCTATTATTCTAGTTGTTCTCTGTATCTTTAACCAGCAGCAGTTTTAAGCAAAACCTGCACAAATGCAGAGGAATTCACAGCTCACAAAAATGCACAGCATGCATGAAAAAGTAGTTCAAAATGGTGTGATCTTCTGGAAGGTTGCACCAACTGCTATTTAAGGCTACAATTCATATGGGTGAAAAACATAACTTCCCAATTTGATATGCACCAGCACCTCTGCGCTCCCCTGATTATCATGCTCTAAACAAACAAAAGCAGCACAGGGCTCTCCAAAAGTGAAACTTTGCCCCAAGATCTCTCCTCCAGGCGTTATTTTCTGCTCTTAATTTATCAGGAACAATGCTGACCTCAGCTGGACCGAGTGTGCTACTGCTGTTGTTTACAGCCCTTCATGGAAAGCATCAGTGAGGACTGAATTATGTAGCAGTTCTCCCACCGAGAGGAGCCTGATCAAACAGACAGACAGCAAGGAGGAAGAAAGGAGGGCAGACAGCAGAAAGATAAACACGGAGATGGAGTGACTCGCGGTGTGTTGGTGAGAGTGAGACGGATGGACGACACAGACAGCAAAGTGAGACAGACAAGCAATAAACAGACGAAAGCATCCCACGCTTAATTAATTAGAGAGTGAAAACACTGCAGGGCTCTGGGCTGCTTTAAAGACAGGCGTGTAACATCCCCACAATAACACACCCACACACTCAGAAACCCAGACACGTGCGACAGGAGGCATTTACACACACACACACGACAAAAGGAACCTTGTATCACCTCTTTTCCTCAGATTCTTAGATGAGGAGAGGGAGGAATGAAAAGAGCAAGGAGGGGAGTAAATGAGTTGAGCAAAAAAGCAGGAGGGGGAGACTGCAGTGAGAGAAGGGAGGAGGAGGAGGAGGGAAAATTGGGAAAAGAAAGGGACGCACGTAGCAGAGATGGAGCGACATTCAGACAAGAAGAGATGAGGCCAGATGAGGTGGAGATAGATGTTACAAGAGGAGGAGAGAAATGGACTGTGAGATGAAGAAAAGTAAAGGATGCAATAGAAGGAGAGAGAGTTAAGAGAGAGGGAGGAAGAGGGCAAATTAGATAGGGGAAGGAAGCCAAAAAAGAACAGTAAAGCGCAGTGGAGGAGAGGAGCCGGAGGAGAGAGGGTAGAGGGGGAGAAGCTGACGAGAAAAGAGGAGAAGAAGGGCTGGAGAAGATGTGACCTCACATGCTTGCCTGCAATGATGCTTTGAAGATCATCTCAAGGTTGTTAGATAAGAGGAGAGGAGAGAAGAGGAGAGGAGAGGAGAGGAGAGGAGAGAGAAAAGGAGGGGGTGATGAAGGAATTGTGAGAAAGATTGTGATAGAGAGAGAGAGGACCCACAGGAGGAGAGCAAGAAGGGAGGAGGGGGGATAAGAGGAGGATGGTGTTATAGTGAGCGAGGAAGAGAGCGATGAAGGCCACTGAGAAATGATTCAGTGACTCAAGTTGCTGAGAGGCATGCAGTAGTGAGTGTGTTTGTGTGTGTCGGGGGGGGAGACAAATGCATTAAGTGGTTACAAAGCAGGTATGCAGAAGTATGTACACAGTGTGAATGTGTACTTGTACGCAAGAGTTTGCGTTAAAATGTGTGTGTGTGTGTGTGTGTGTGTGTGTGTGTGTGTGTGTGTGTGTGTGTGTGTGTGTGTGTGTGTGTGTGTGTGTGTGTGTGTATCTTGGCAGCAGTGATTAAGTACAATGAGCCTGCCAGCCAATAAACAACCAGGCAGGCTGTGTTCCATTCCTTAATGAGTTCCCCTTATCTGTCACCCTCCTCCCCTCCTTCCATGCATCCTTTATTCGCTCTCCTTTACATTATCTCACTCACTGCCCCTCTTCATGTCACATTATCATTCATCAGGCATCCAACAACTCTGCTCCTCTTTCAATATTTCCTTGCTCAACTCCTCTCTGTTTTGGGCTTTATCTTCCTGCTGCCCTCCCTGCTCATTCGGCAGGAGGAGTTGACATTGTCACGGTTGTTCGGCAACAGGATGCGCCCAGGCAAAGATAATTTGCTTGAATTGGGGACCAGAAGTGTCTTGTTCATGAGACGGGAGTTGACTTCATTTTGATTACACTCTGAACTAAAATAATTACTCCATGTGCTTTTCATTATTTTAAGATTAAAATTAAAAAAAACATGTATTACTAACAATTTGCACTCTCAAATGACAAAAACACATACACCACTACCATCCAAACTTGGCGGTGCAACCTTAATGGAAGAGCTCATTTTAAAAACAAAAAGAAAACAATTTAATCTGAGGGCCATTTTGCACTAACTCACACACATTATACTCCATTTCTACCGAGTCTGCTCTGTTAAATGCCATTTATAAAGGTGCAGCTTTTATTGTTTGCATCCTATCTTGCTGAACTGCCAGCCGTTTCCATCAGCCTCTGCTGTCATTTCTAGCTTGACTTAAAGGGATATTCCAGTGTAAATTTAAGTCATGTTTAAACACACCGTAACACCAAGTTAGACACCCCCAACTTCAGCCACGAATGCACGATGGCAATACACAGCGGTCTACGTCTCCACGTGCAAACCTCAACCAAAAAGCCACTCTATAGCCACAAATAATGTTCAGAACAGCACCTAACTTCATCAACAGTACATATAGAGTCCCAGCCATAGTACTAGCCACCAAACAGAGAGACCAAACACAACTCACCTACTCTCCTCCAGCAGCTGCTTGTTTGTGGGGCGGCCCTGATGAGTTGATCACAGAGTGCAGCGGAAAATTTATGATCATTTCTTCATGGAAATGCAATCAGACCGAGACGCTAAGGCATAAGAACTACCTCGTCTGCAGTGCACATACAAGATACACAAGAACTCTGTTTGCATTTCAATGAAGTAATATTCATGAATGTTCTTCCTTGAGCTGTGAAACTCCACTGCACTCTGTGACAAACAAGCAGTCATTGCTGAAGTTGGTATAACTTAGAGAAGCAAGCAGTCAGCAACATTCATCTCTCGGGGGGGGGTTTCTAACTCTCCATTAGTATGCTCATGTTAGCGCTTCAATCAAACATCTCTTTCCCTAAAAATAGCCTCACATAACCACTAACTTGACTGCAGACTCTGTCTCATTTCAACTACGCCCATGTTCAGTCTTTGTTCAGCTGAGCGAGTCAAATAACCCATTCAGAAGGACTCACACTCCTATCTCGATTCTTTAAGAAAACATTCTCCACTTGTTGTAGAGAATTGTCTCACACGTATAAATCATAAAAATAATATCTTTGTCAGGAGAAAAATAACATGGACGTAGTTATGATGATCACATTATCTCACATATATAGAGTCTCCCCTCAGGATCAGCATTATAGGATGAAAAACTGATAAAACACTTTAGATAAAAGCACTTTATGTCTGGACAGGTATTAAATTAGCTAATGCTCCTCTCCAGCAATAAATGCTCGTGAGTTAACAGTCATCACACGCATGCAGAAAGATATTACCTTGAAATAGCCTCCAGGTGTTTCACTTTCAGTTTTTAACCATTAGTAAGGTTTCTATGAAAATGTTCCACTCCCCACCATCTGGACACATCTCAGTGCACACATCATTTAGGGCTTGCACTTTGCAGACAGACTTCTCCACCTCTGTAATTTATCCTTAGGAAATAACACAAATTAAATTGCCACCATTTAAGAAAAAGCTGTTGGAAAAGATGTTCAGCTGAACCGTCTGAAAGTCTGTTGCTGTTTCGAATTGCTTTTGATTAAGTGAGAAGTAATCCGCCATGTAGAGAGCAGTTCTAAAAATGTCGAATCGAAGAGGGGATGGTAAAGTCATTTATCAGGTCTGAGAAACTACATGGGTCCTTTTCTGCACCAGTTGATGGCTCACAAAAACACCTGGTCATTGTGACTTGAACTCATGCTTTCTAATGTGTTGTCGGACATAAATCAAATTAACTGCAGTTATATCTAGTTAATGGGATTAGAGTGGGGACACAATGTAGGAGACATCAATCTGTGCTGGAAGTCAGCCATGAATTTGGTTCATTCACATCTCACAGGGTCTCCCTGGCCAGCTGGCAGGGGCTGCTGGTTCATGATGATTTACAGTAATGTTTCCTGATTTTGCTGCAGTAGTTTCAGTAATTATATAACATATGCAACCCTGATGAACAGATTTTTCCAGTGCTTTTTGAAACTAGTATCTATTTTCAGTAAATTTGTTTTATTCAAATGAGAGTTGACGAGAACATGAAGACAACTTTCATTTCAACTTTCATCCCCAAGTAGCATACGTTCGCAAATCCACTTGGTAAGCTCACCTGCTCGCAACTTAAAAGATTTAGGAACATTTTTTAATTAAAATGATCAGAAACCGAGAGTTCTAAGGTGTTAAGAGAAAAACAGGCGTGACAATTTCTAAGCCAAGTACCTTGACTTCTTCTGGTCTTCGATTTTAGTCTGGCTAGAGACCCTAAGGAGCCATAAAACCTCTTTTTTTTATTTTACTATCAACCTAAATAAAACCAAAGACTAATCAGTCAGCCATTTTTTCCCCTTATCTTAAGATTAATCCAGGCAAGCAGCCTATCCTCTGTAACAAATCAAATGTTTGCTGAGCTTCAAACTCAGAGAACTGACTCTAAGGATGTAGATGTTCAACTATCATAATGTAAGAGCTCAGCCCAATAAGTAAACTGAAGGATGTGATGACCAAAGCCTTTAACCCTCTGAACTTCTGCAAACATCAACATTATTCTTATTATTATCATTGTTGTTGTTGTTATTCAAATCAAGACATACAAGACATGTCAATTGCTCATAAATTGTAAAATACTGATATTTTTATTTTCAAAAATGCAGCAGAAATGTTTTATGCTTGACACAATCCAGCCAACCGCTGAGTCAATAAACCCATATGAAAAAAATATTCAGTCAGTCAAACATCCATTAAACATTATTTTTATATCATTTTTGTAAAAGTCCTTTGCTTGCCATCCACAAAATGTTCAGCTTTCATTTTCATGTACTCTGTTGACAAATAAACTAAAATATCTCTCATGAAGAAGTTACTTAGGATGAGAGGAGGTTAAATAGGCCTCACTGTGACAAAGCTGCATGTAGTCGCACAGGTAAGGCTGGGGAGGGGGGGGGCAGGTAAGGATACAGAAAGGTAAAACAGGAAGTTACAGTTGAAGGGGTCACGGCCTTAAGTTAGATGCAGGAATGAGTTGATTTGTTGGCGTGAGTTTTGTCTGTACAAAAACAACCACATGGATTGGATTTAACCTTTCCTCATTTTGAGTGGCGGCTATGACAACACCACAGCTTCATCATGTGAATGGGCGAAAATTGGCGCTGTGAATTTTAAAGTGATGACACACAGCAGTAACAACCACCACACCTCCACAAGCAAGAATAAAACTCCAACATTCGTCTGAAAAAGTCTCATTTTTTGACACCACTTGTTTAATGGAGCTTCAGTACTTAATTTTAAAGCTTTAAAGGGGTAACTCCAAAAATGTTGTTCCATTAAGAGCATATTAGAGCTTAAAGCAATATGTCTACGAGAGAGTTGGCCAACAAAGTAAAGAACAACAAAGCCAAGATGATCAGTCCTTCTCAGCTGTTTTTGGGCTGAAACCCAGACACAGTTAATCAAATCTGTCTCAAAGTAAATGACAAAATCTTGAGTGGTGGAGCATCGAATTCAGTTTAAACGTTTTAACATACATTCACTGTTTGTTTTTTAATTCTATACTTCGTTTTAGAAAAAGAGATATAACATTTTCATGATATATAAATGGATTTATTTCAAAACCTCTCAAAGGGTTGAGGTTTCAGTCAGCATTAGGTAGTTTAGAGCCCCAATACACCGTAAAGGTCACACACAAAAAATAAAAAAATAAAAAAATTAATCTAAAAACACTCTTTTTGTTACACACCATGACTAAACCCCTCCTGGATTTTCTCCAAATGTTTCTCTGTGGGGACATTAATTAGATATTTTTTCCTAATATTTAAAGGGAAGGCCTTAAAGAAAAACTTAAGAGGTAAGGTCAAAGGGTGAACAGGACAGGATCAGGTTAAAAGGGTTAAGGGTTGTGGTTTTTTGGCTGGTGCTCAATCATCAAACCATTATTGCATTATCTACACAGTACGAGCTTGTCATCCCCATGGTCAAACAAATAGACAGGATGGTGTGAAAATGTCTTACACTTCAACTACTAAACAAGTATCTGGATGTTTACAGAGTTGAAATGACTATTGAAATGACTGTGCATAGCAAATAAGCCTTTAAATTAAGGTACTGTGTACATACTACAGTGGGTGAGATAGAAAGACAACCAGCCTTGCTTCAGGACATCTATACAATTATATAGTAAATATCTGAAATGAAAGCAATAATGTGGTTAAATAAGTCATGTTTTAATGCAAGAGCAGGTAAATGCTATAAATCATAATATATCATCTGTATCTTTCCATTCTATTTACAAGAGTTGAACACATAGCTGGTTAGAGTGATTCCTCAGAAAGTCTGCCAACACTTCAGAGGCCCTTTCTTCTTCTGAAGCTAATTCCTGTCTCTTGGCACACTTTGCACTCCTGTGTTTTCCATATCACTCAATCTCACTTTGTCTCTCTCCCTCTCAGCTGATAAATCCCTTCTTAATATAAACCTAATCTCTTTTCCACCATCTGACAAACTTTTCCTCAGCTACTGTTGTTTTTTTTTTTTTTAATCCCCTGCTTCCTGTCGGTCTATTTTATACCCCGCACTCTCTTTGAATTTGTTCTTTTCTCCTCAGCTTTGTTTGATCCTTGGCAGATAGGGCCTTTGATCGTTTAATGGAAAAAAATGCTACATTCACATTTCACAGGTTGTTCAAGTTGACATCAGCAGTCTGTGTGTGGTACTTCTTAGTTCAGTTCTGCATCTACGTCTGCTCTGCCCTATCTCAGCACTGCTTCAACTGTGCAGCACGGGTGCAGCAGGAGATGTAAAGCGATCCATGACTGACCCTTTGTGGCACAGAATTCCTCCTTTTCCTCCTCAGGTGTAGAAAAAGCAGGAGATTTAATATCCAAAGCAGGAATCAAGACACTTCATGGATGTCTTGGCTTGTCTTGTTCCGGGTTTAGAGCAAATGATGCATAGAACTGCATCTCCCAGGATCCCGCTTGTCTTCAAGTCCCCCGACATGCAACACACAGCTGTCTGTCCCTTCATCCTGTTACTGGAAACGTCTCTCTCTCACTCCATCTGTAACAATCCTGCAGGGTAATTAGTAGAGGTATTTAAGTCCTTTGTTTTATGCCTGTGTGTGTGTGTGTGTGTGTGTGTGTGTGTGTGTGTGTGTGTGTGTGTGTGTGTGTGTGTGTGTGTGTGTGTGTTTATGTGTGTAAGTGTTGTAATTATGTCTCTGTATCTTGCTGCGGTTATACACGCGTGGTGGAATGTGTGTGTGTGGAGATATGTGTGTGTGGCAAGTGTGTATTACTATATGGGCTATGATGTGTGTATCCCTGGTGCGGATGCCCCATCCTCATCCCCACCACTGATCCAGGCGTCATGGGAGTCATGGGCGTCGCCGGGGTAACGGGATGCGACCCAGGGGTCACAGGCAATGAACCCGGGGTCAGAGAGGTCATGAGAGGGACGTCGTCAGGTGAGCGGCGCAAGGTGAGAGTGTAATCAGGCGGGCAGGTGAGGCGTACAGTGTCTAGTGTGCTGTAGATGTCCTGGGTGTCCAAACCGTCCAGAGCGTCCAGCGTGTCCAGAGTGTGATGGTGGTGAGCGTTGTTCCTCTCATCTGCTGAGGCCACATCACACTCCAGCTGCTTCACCTGAAAGGTTTGGTGAGAAGAAAAGTGAACCATTAGAGAAGAAGAAGAAACTAAGTGAAGGGAGAATGAACCAAAATCAGACTCAGAGCAAGAAATCTTCAACATGGTGAATTTTGATCCAGCAGCTGATCAGCTTCATGATATATTCATCTGAAATGTCTGACTGATGTGAAGAAGCAAATGAAGAAGATTTAAAAAAAAACACTTAAAATCCATACCATAAATGTACAAAATCTGAAACTTGTCATTACTGTAAGTGAGCTTTATTGTTGTTTTTAAAGCAGTTATAAATTAATTTAGATGAGTCAAGATTCATGCTCTCGCTAATGACATTAATAAACTGTCTTTGAGCTATTCTAAAATAACCTCCCATCTTAGAGCCTGTTTTAGATCTGTGATTGTATAGACTCATATCAGTCATTTACATGTTTTCTGCAGATCATGTGTCAATCTCATCACTGTTAGAGCTATAAAACCATGAATAGATAACAATGCAAACCCCACAGCAGGAGTTATTTAGTCATTTATGATTTAACAAACATTCGAAGTATAATTTGATACTGGGGGGAATGGGCATGGTAGTAGGGGGAGTAGGGAGAGAGGTCCACGAAAGCCTTGATTTTTGTCTTTTATTTTATTTTTTTATTTTTTGTGATGTTTTTAGAGTGTACAGGGGCCCAGAATTTGGTGCTACGCCCCTGTTGAGGGGCATTAGCTGAACTCCTCTCTACATGGATCCCTTTCATTGTTCATTTTTTTGTCTTAACCCCCTTTAAGTCATTTCTCTTCCTCTGTTCTTTCTGTCATACACAAAAAATGAAAAATTAGATAAAAAGTCTTGAACTACTGTAACCGTGTCAAATCAAGTCTGCTTCACTGGTCAAAGAGAGGGAGTTCGATAAATCTTACATTAGTTCTTGAATGGTTTATATGGAGCTCTTGTCCCTTCGTGACATCTTGGTGTGACAAAGAACGAAGGACATTTTCCCATCACTAGTTAGTTAAGTTAGTGAGACACATCTAAAACCTTTTTCCCGTCATTCAGTTTCTAATATTAAAAACTGTTCCCTGTTAAAAAAAAAAAATAATAATAATAATAATTTAGGCTTGTCACTGCTAAGAACAACTTGTCACAACTTTTATGTCTGTGAAAAGAGTTAAAGTCGAAGACGAATAGTGAGCACATCACAGAGAGCTCCAGACACATGGATCTAAATTAACTGTGAGACATGGACTTTGGTGACAAACTTCACTGAGTCATACAGTTCCAAGAATTTATGGATGTATAAAAATCACAGTTATTTCCCAAAGTTAAAAAGCAATGCAGTCTTCAACCACACCATTTGAAATTTTTAAGGTTTGGCTCAAAATGTGAAAACCTGAAAATACAGCAGCTACAGTTACAACTATTCCATGTACAAGAAAGATTGTTTACTCCAGTTATCAAATTAAAAATGATTCTTTTACTAATTAAATCTTTTTTTGTTTGTCATCTATGATGCTTTATAAGGTCATCCACCCGTATAAACACAGAGAGCAGAAAATCTGCAGTATTGAGCAAAAGAAAGACAAAACAATTATCCGTATGAAAAATGTTACTGCAGATTTATTTTCTGTCAGTTAAGCAGAAAAACTGCTTTTTCAGCCCTGATTAAATCTCAGACTGTTATTGCAGGGCTTTTGTTTGTGGCCAGATTCAATATAATAAAATTATCAACAATTTCATGAGTAAAATTAAGTTTAAAGAAAAACTTTGAGTTGCTGTTATTTATCAGTCTAAACACCTTTAAAAGGAAGAATACCATTTTTTTCCGTCACTGAAACTGTCATGCAATTTACCTGAAGTTATATGAAATCAGAATAGGAGAGTATAATGGATTTTAAACTTTAAAATCCACTTCAGATAAAACAGTCATAAACTATACAACTGCCAACATCAACTCTAACAGAGTGACTCTGTCGATGAATCAGATATATTTTCTAACATATCGTGGACAGCCCTGAGCTACTTAAACAAACAAAACATTTACTTTCCTTTTAATTAACCACTACTTGTTTTTTTAACGTTGCTTGTAATTATGATAAAAACAAAGATATTTTCACATCTGTAGCCCATTTACTTTGTCTGATGCAGAGGATTAGGAGATACAAATGCCTCTTCTTTTGTCACATGTTGGATACTACTCTCAAAAATCCATAAGTTTACAGCCTGGTGAGTCAGCTTAACTACTCTGTCAAACAGTGCTGAGCAAAAAGCCAAGAAACTCCAACAGCAGGGTGTAAAAGTACGAGACCAGCTTGGCAAAAGAGGAGGCTTTATCGATGGGAATGACAAATTTCCCTGATATGAGGAGCTGGACAAAATTCTCTAAACTGAACCGGCAGAGGTTTCTTACATACACCCAACACTTCATCTGGTGTCGACTTGTACAGAGATGGTGAACAACACGGCCTATCACCATTCTCATGCAAACTATCACTCAAAACTGAAATCGCCTGGTGGCTATTTTACTGCATTTATCATCAGATGACTGCTGCTGGTGCGATGAGTCAAGCAGCTACTTGCTCCAGTTACTCCAGTGATTGTATTCCCACTACACCACACTTCAAACAAAGGCAAGTCGAGACCACCTCTCTTTGGTGAGCTCTGCTGCTTCTTTTCCTCCACATGCAATAGTTCAGTTCACATATGTCCATAAGACTAAGCCACAGTATGTAACAACCCCTGTGTAAGACCAACTTTTCCAAAGTTCCAGATATAAAAAGCACCTTAAAAATCCCCTTCAAACACAATCGTGACAGTTAAGGTTTCATAGTTTATTCCAGTGTTCAGTTATGAAATAGACCTGCAAGTCTTTTGTCTTATTTTGGGTGGAAACCTGTCTTATTATGTGTAATTTAAGCAGCATTCAAAAGACAAGCCCAGAAAAAAAGAACATATATATATATATTTTAAGGTAAAATAAAACCTGGATTACTTCAATCTACAAATGGAATAAAGATTTACATTTTGAGGAACTTAAAAAATGTAAATCGGATTTTTTTCACTCATGACCAGCTGTTGGGTCTTATTTCTAAAGTGTAGGCATCATATTTTGAAATAAAACAATCAATATGGACTTGCCTGGTGAATTTGGTTTAAATCAAACATCCTTACCAGATATAAGACAAAAACTCTTGCTAAGATTTGACTATTTGTAGTGCATAATCCTATCTTAAGTGTTTTCCTCATTCTAAGCAACAGGCTACCTATTTTCCTCATGTAAGGACTCAAAGCTATCTTGTAAAAGGGGAAATGCATGGTGAAAGTTACGTTTTATAAGCCAGTGGCTTTAAAGATGAAGATAACTTCACAAAATTTCATTTCAGTTGCAGAAATATCAGAAAAAAAATCTGCTTTTAACCTCAAAACTAAAGGGAGTGCTTACCAGCATCCCAGCTGGTTTGATGAATGACATGCTGTACAATCCTAGTTTACGGCCAACATCTCACAGCCAAACCAGTCACTACTTCAAACAGGACATCCAAAGCTAAAATCCAATTCAAAGTAGATCGCTGCTGTTTAGTATAAACTAAGCCCATCTGTTTAACTGAAAGAGACATTTGTGCTGGATTGCATTTTTCTCCATTTTCACAAAATAGAAACACTCAACATGACATTAATGTGTGCCAATACCAAGAGACTGCTGGGTTTTTACTTGTCACTTCAGATGTACCATTGGTGCAGGAAGCAGCACACAGCACCACATGAACCGATGTGACATTTAAAATAAATAAAACACAATTACAAAAAGCAGCTGCACCGTTGAGCTACATTACGATAGTTCAGTTTCCAATTAAGAGGATTTGTCAGCTACAAAGGAGATGTGACATTTAGCACTCACTGTGGGAGATTTCGGAGCAACTAAAAGAGCTCAAAAGAGGCCAAATAGTCAGAGGATGAATTGGTGGCAATTGGAAGCAATTCAGGCGATTGGACACGGCTCACACTGCACATGCATCAAAACACACTGGCAGATGCACACACACATACACACACACACACTGACTCTGATAGTGTCTGCTGATGACAGGCTGTGTTTCATAATAGTGCTCTGCTGGCAGCTTCTACACAGTTCATTCAGACTTTTTCACACATGCTCAGCTGGTTGGGTGTGTGACAAGACTTTTCAGGACGTGTGTGATACAACTTTTATCGTTATTGTGAAGTTTTATGGCTACAGAAGAACACACATGCACGATTAAGAAAATGAAACACACCTGTAGTGACATTAGTCCCTCCCCCTGCAGGTGTGCGGCGACATCAGCAGCTGTGATGTCTCGTCTGGGCGGAGGAAGTGGGCGTGGTCGGCGGTGCTCCAGACGCCTCTTGTCCTTCTTGTAGAGCAGAGCAGCAAAAGCGAGGATGTTTAGAAACAGCAGTGAAGCTCCTACTGCGATCGTCACTGAAAGCTCTGTTGAGTAGTCCTCATTCGGCACACGGACCCCCTCTTCCCCTCCACCTTGGCCTAAAACAGACTCTGGCGGCTGCGGTGTACCTCCTTGGGAACCTGGGTGGCGTGTGCTGCTGGGCGGCCAACCTTTAGCTAACCGCTTGGTGTAAGAGTAAGGAGTGTCATCCTGCGGAGAGGGACTATGCGTGAAGGAGGACACTGATTGGAGGAGCTCGTTGACGTGATGAAGGTGAGGGACCAGCTGGAGCCAGAAGGAGATTTTGGTGGCGCGATAGTGGTCTCGAACACGCGGCTTCAGGCCGATGTGGAGGTACAGCTGCTCTTTGGGAGTGTACTTAGACCAGGCCACTTCTTCAAACCGGTTTGGTTTTGTGTGGATGAATTTGGTGTCTTGAGGAACAGGCTGGTTTGGGTCACTGGAAAGAGTGAAACACAGAAACGTATTCATTTGCTTTGAAGTGGTATGCGGGTGGTTGTGGTGGTTATGTAAGAGTTTTTTATAATTTACAGAGAGCAAAAAGGGGGGATTAATTATTTGTGTTGGCAAGACATTTCTTTTTATCCCCTCAGAACCTGTTATTCTACATGAAGCTGTAACCAAATGAAAACACAAGAGGATGAGTATAAAATGTATTTGTAAAAACTGTTTTAAGGTGAATCACAGAACCTCATCACAGTGATATCTGATGGCAAACAAAACACTTTAAAATGCATTATTATCTTAAAAAATGGGCAAAAGTGCTATCCAGCATGATGAGTTTTTCACTGAATGTATGAAAACTCCTCTATATATCATGGATGCAGGTCTCATGAACTTTTGGGAACCCAAATGGTCTGGGATTGTGCCCAGTTCAGACACACAATAAGATATTTATATATTTTTTAACTGAATCATATCAAAAGTACTCTTTATATAGTCCAGACAGCTTTTACACTGCTTTAAAGCTTCCATGAGGAGTTTTTTTAAGGTTATGAAATAGACTGAAATTTATACTCAAGCTTTTTTTGTGATATCCAAAAGCAAAAAAAAAAAAAACACCAGAGACACAACATTTAACTTTTTTATTGTCCGAAACTGGTGTGAGGGGGTAGGTGTCAGCACAGCAGCTGAGGAAACTGTTTCCTGTTTCAAAATTCACTCATAAGATAAATATAATAAACCATACATCTGACTGTCAAAAGTCAGCAGGGGGAGGTTTGTAATCATAAATAACTACTCAAGCATGTAGAGGACAAGAGAAGAAAACAGGTCTAGACCAAATGATGAGTTTGGTCTAGACCTGCCTTTTTGAGGGGCATCTTAGGATAACAACTGTTGTGATTTGGTGCTGTATAAATAAAGATTGATTGATTGATTGATTGGTTGGTTGATTGATTGATTGATTGATTGATTGAGAAGCATAGACTTGTTTATCCACAGGGTTGCGCCAAAGTTGACACTAACTGGAACAGGAGCTTTAAGTAATATTATGATCCTGCTATGTTTAACACATGGTTCTTACAGGTCAAAAACAAATAAAGACCCTACTAAGTTGTCAATGGCAAGAGCAACAACAAGGAAAACCTTATCATATCCAATTAACCAACTGAAAAGAAGTCCAGAATATTATACCTCTGCGTGTTGGTGTCAGCGTAACAAATTTAGTTTAGACCCACTCTGATGAAAATCATGTTTTTCTTGTTGTCTACATGTTCATATGGCATTTACCTGATGCTACAGGACGTATCATGGGAAAAATAAGTGCGAAATTGCATTTCTAAGTATTTTTTCATTCAAATTGCTGTGAATCTCTGGCAAACCCAAACAGCAGGTCCAGACACAGTGGGATTTTCTGTCACAATTTCAAGCGAAGCCGAAGCCCCACTATGCAGGCCAGACTTTAAGAAGTAAAAAGGACAATAGCTGAACAATTAGTGAGTTAGCGGATTGCAATGCTTGAGAAAGCTAATTATGATATTAACGTTTGTCTTTCCCTCAAGGACAGCTGAATAGCTCCTATATTACCTGCTACTTCTGCTGTACTGGCAATGTTAGGCTACAAGCTAGCTTGAAGAGGAGGGTGCAGAACAGCGCTGTCTCCACCCACGACTCAGAGGTGAATTGTGAATGACCTACTGGAGCTAAAAACTTCATAATCACAACTTAAAGACCACTGAGAACACTTTAAATCATTTAAAAAAAACAATCGAAGTGGGAGTTCAAGCATTAAAAATCAGTAAACATGTTGGGAAAGGTGTCATTTTCTATTATGGGCTGGTTTGGCTGCTTTGCTAGATTCTGTCCTGAAATCCAGGCAATGGCAGCAGAACTGGTGAGTGTATCTTTGAGCTGCAAAACACAACAGAGTAAAATAAAAAAAGATTGGAGGGATTGTTTCTTAAATAACAATTCTGGTTTAGTAAAATCATCCTCAAATCAATAGTCTGTGTCATTTTGTTTTCGTCTTTAGTCGGTCACTTGGTGATAAGCAGGATAATGGTTCTGGTGGTTATGGGAATAAGACCCCCTACAGGTTGTAATAAGATCCCATAACATTTTCATGTACTTATGTACAGAAAACCATAAATGAGCATGCACTTAGCAGCATGGTAGACGCCTATTTTATCAGGCAGAAATCCCAAACAGAACCATACGCACTGATGGACAGCCATCTGCCAAAACCAGATAGGGCAGAAAAAGTCTCACATGTCATCTTTTTCTTAAGATGACATGTGAGTGACAAAAAAAGCGGATCACTGAGGTTTAAAGACAGAAGTGCACAGGTTTATGAGAGCTGCTGCCTCTTTTTTTTCTTTGGTCAAACATCACTGACAACTAAGTCTTTATTTCAGCCCTCCAGCACAGACTTTTCCATCACAATGGAAACATTTGTACAGCAGGGAAAGGTCACAGGGCTTTTCATTCAATCTATTATTTGTCCAGGACCACAACACTTGCCCCAGCAATATATTTCCCAAAATGGATCATGTTCTGTTAGCCCTCCTCGATCTGTCCATAAAAATGTGTAGGCTACTGCTGACAGACTCCCTTTAAATGTCAGTCTCATAAAAGTCATCAGCCCAAATCATGAGACCAAAATGAAATAACTCAGTGATCAATGCTTAGACCGTTGTCTCCTGCTGTAATCAGCCTCAACTTTCTGTGTATATCCATTCTGTGGTCTCTGCCTACACTCTGGCTATCAAAGCTGCTGACACCTCTTCTCAGCTGCCTACCAACCTCACAAGAGTGAGTTTTTTCCCATGCAGGCCAAGAGTTTCTCTAGTGTTGGCATCCATCTTTCAAATCAATATCTAGGGAGATAAGAAAATCCAGTGGCAAAATATTATTAAAGGAAAAACAAGTTTTATTTTCTTGTAAACATAGCTCAAAGCGGATTTAGCTGCAGATCACTGATTTGTGTCCAGTTTATATGCCTCAGTAAATGCACCCCAACTCCTACAGATGGAACAATGTGAGGATATTTGCCCCCTCTGGAAAATATAAAACTGTTAGGTATCTCCATTTGAGGATAACTATGTGTTGTGGTATAGTGAGAATCTCCTGGAGTATCTTTCCTCTGACACAAACGGACAGGCATCTATTTGATGATTTATCCATTCATTTTTGCCGGCAGCGAAAATGATGTAAATGAAACGGCAGCTCATCTAAGCAGACTTGCCAGTTACATGCTATGTGCTCACTTGTCAATCAGCACCTTATGAAGTGCACAAAAAAGCAGCTAGCATAAAGACCCACTGGCATGCAAACAGACACAGAGCAGCTGAGGATTTGCACACCCACATGGAGGCTTACAAAACATACATCAGGGAGAATCATATCCTTGCTGTTAAATTGAGCTGTCGCAGAGTTCCATCACCATCTGAGACACTCTCAACCAAGTGAAATCTTTCCAGAGAAAGTTCCCCTGCTGATAATCGAATTGAACACTGAGATCTTTTTATCCCTCCTTGGTGAGTTTTCTCCGCAGACCAGAGAGAACTAACGTGATGTTACATGATTCTCCAGTGTACCTGTGTTTTGTCTGTTCTAATCATCAATATCATTTGAGTCATCATGGTTTATGTTCTCATATGACCATTACTGTGGGGTGGGGGTTATCTTTCTGTTGGAAAAGAAATACTGACGAAAAAATTTTCATTTAAAATGACTAATTGTGGTGATTAGATTAATAAAGTAAGTAGTACTCTGTATTTAAATTGCACCAAATCAATTGAACTGAATGCAAAAATAAGGAATCATCTCTGAGTCAGACCAGAGCCATCACATTTCAAATCTAATGGGATTGTTTTGTAGAAGAGATACACAAACTCACCGTATAATATTTATAATTACCTGAGCTATACAAGTTTTTTTTTTCTATCCACAGATCCATTTTTGTAGTGATAATGACTTGAATTGTGTTGTTGTTGAATAGAAATAGTATGTATTTGATGACATGCACACTCATTAAATGAAATTAATTGTGCTTTTGTTGTTCTGTATAAAATTTGCTTTTCAACTGTGTACCTGAAATGACTGAATCTAGTTTTTCTGCAGCAACACTATCAGCCAGCTCTTTCAAAATCCTCTCACAAAAGCTGCGAACAATCAAGCCCCGAAAAAGCTCCCTAAATTACAATTCCCTGGCGCCGGCACGAGTGAAAGACGGTGTTTTTGTGCAGCCTTACTCTAAATATGTGAGAGCACTGTCCTGATTCTGGATGCTGTGAGATAGGGAGGCTCTGTGGTGATTTAGATCAAGGTCTAGACTACAGATGTCTGTGTAAATCTGAAGAGGTCTCAGCGGAGTGAGCCTCGATTGGATTAATTACGGGTAATTACTCTCTTCGAGCACTGCAAACAGAGGGTCCATCCTCAACAATTACTTTTATCTTGTATATCATGTCACAGTGGACAGATAAAAGGTACTCTTATCAGGGCTCACTGTCGGCTTTTTAAAGTTTTAACGTGGATCCTTTCTACAACAACTGTAGTTTCCTCTGCTTCTGGCACATCATTTCACTTTCAATTAATAAATTGGATCTCTAAAAGCTTTTTGAGCTGCTGGCAGATAATTTAAATTTTGATTTAACATATTGAATAAGCTCTCTATCTCATTGCACCAGTTTGGGCCGAATGAGGGCGCAGAAAGAGAGAAAAGATTTGTCAAACAGCGACTGATCCTTCATTCTTCTTTGAGGACATTACCTTGGCTTTCTTTAAGGACTTTCTTAATAGTAAGGTTATTTATCGTCCCTTGCCAAGGTCCAGAGAGGAACAGCCTTGTCAAGATACTGTCATGGTGCAGAGAACCTGTGTGCACCCTTTTTCTAAAACCAGTAAAGCTCTTATTTTTTAATGACTATTACAAAGCTTTGTCTTTCTGTCAGATACCACGGGTCTTTTAAAGGAAAATGCATTATAAATACATCCCCTTTTCCTGTGAGCTCATTATTTTTGTTGCTCTAAAACTCCTGTGTCTCACTCTTATAAATCATTAAATCTAAGCCAGAGATGGTTTTAAATCAACATTTCAAATGAAACCTCTCATCCTGGAAGAACAGTTTTTCTTTGCTATTGAGACATTACTCATCTCAAAAGAAAATCCTGACAGCAAAAGAAAGAGATGTATTCAAACTGAACTGTGAAAACTCCAACAGGCTTTACCCTTCAAATTCTAACTCCAGCTCCCTTAGCAGAACAAATCAATGCCAGGCTAGGGGCAGGACACATGACAGGGACCCAGTAAGGCTCATGATAATATCGCTTACATACATATGGCTACAACAGCAGGGCTTACGAGCATTATTGCATCATTTACACATGGTTCTGTCGATTTGAAGTCAATCAAACAAACATAAAATCTAACAAACCAAGAGACCAACATAAACATGAGGCTACCTGGCCTCTAATAATAAAACAATACAAATTTAAACTGATATTCTGGCGTAAATTTAAGCTATGGTCAAACACACTGTAATACGAGTAAGACACCCCCCCGAGAGATGAATGTTGCCGACTGCTTGCTTCTCTAGTTGTACCAACTTCAGCAACGACCGTGCAATAGCAATAAACAGCTGTCTATGTCTCCACGTGCAAATCTCAACCAAAAAGCCACTCTATGGCCACAAATAATGCTCAGAACAGCACCTAACTTCATCAACAGTACATATAGGGTCCCAGCCACAGCAATAGCCATCAAACATCTTTTTAACTTTGCCTGATTTCTTTAGCAAAGAGACTAAACACAACTCACCTACTCTCCTCCAGGAGCCGCTTGCTTATGGTCCCTAACCCTAACCCTGATGAGTCAGCCATAACTTAAATTTTTGCTGGAATATCCCTTTAAAGCAGTTCAGCACCACGGATACTAAGTCGGTATCCGTCAATATCATGTCACATATATCTAACATTAAGAAATATGTTAAAGGTGCAGAATGTAGAATTTAGCATTATTTAGCAGAAACACAATTAGTAGAAATGGAATATAATAATGTAATAATGTTTAATAAGTGTATGATCATCCAAATGTAAAGGCTGTCTAGTTTGAGTCCAGATTGAGCTGCATTCTACGTGAGCCACCATCTTGCACTACCATGTTTCTACCTCAGCACAGAGTAGACTGACTTGTAACATGGCCATTTTTAATACAGCAACTGGCCATGAGAAACGCACCAGATGAAAGATGGGGAGAAGAGTTGTGCATATCAGACTTTGCCCCGATATAAGTTTAAAAAAACATGATAAATGGTGGATCAGGCCACTGTCACTTCACCAATAAGAGGGGTGAGCAAGGGGATCATTCAGTCTGAAATCTGACTGTTAGAGACTGCTTAGTATTAAAATTTCTACTCACTGCACCTTTAAGTAGTGGAAAGCGCAAAGGCATCATCTGTTTTATCCCTCTGGCATCACAAACTTCAGTCTTGGCATTAAAACCAAATTGAGTCTTGGTTGTCTCATTCTGAGCTGACATCAGCTGTCCACCAAAAAAGCAATATTTTACTCTGGTGCTAAAATGATGTTTCTGCACTGTGGCAAAAATAAAAGTATGAAGAATCACTAATGCTGACAGTTGTGCCTCTTTTCTCACATTTTGAATATGATTTAATGGCATGAGCACCATTCACCAACATGAACAGTTTCCACATGGGGTTCGGGGGTTGGATATCAACAGAAGACACCAACTGTCTGGAAACTGGAAATATGAAACAAATCATGCTGAAGCTGTGCCTTTGTTCCCCTTGTTTTCTTGGTTTTCCCCACAAGGTGTAAAAAACTCCTCTCAGCAGGTTATCCTTGCTGAAAATCAATGCTAAGCATGAGGACAGTTTTTAATAGCTCACCCAGTCTTGGCAAAGTTGGTCCAGTAAGTCATGACTACAGCGCTCAGCATCACGTCGTTCTTGGAGAAGTTACAGTTGAACAGATCAGTGGGTCCCACCATGGGCACGCCAAACACATAGGGCACCTACACAAGCAAGGAGAAGATGCACACAAACACAAACACACACACATACACACACACACACAGCAGTTAGGATAGCTTACTGTCAATGCAAACAGATTACATTCATTCTCCTGACAGTAACCAGGACCATAACTGAATTATGTCAAACTCTAACCTCATCCCAGAGAAGACAGAAACCGCCTCATGTGTCACTGTGGTGAACCTAAACTCAGGTCACTGAATTCATCTTCATCCTGACAGTACACACCAATAATCTAGACTGAAATCCACCCCCTCAACTTGCAACTAAAGATTTATGAATACACGCTCATATACCAAGCAGGCAGGTCTCCCCTCTTTTCCCAAAAATGGAAATAAATTCAAATGATTTCACTGATTAAGCAATTTGAAGGAATTTAAATGAAGCAGCACTCCAAGGTCATCCACACCCAAAGCTCCTCATTCATTTAACTAATATGTCTGAAATCTCCATTTCTGCCTCAGTCTTTTACAGTTGAGTAAAAACTTCACTGAAATTTCCTCATCTCCTGAGGATACAATTCTTGTTTTATATCTTTGATGATGAGGGTAAAATAATCACAACACCAACGTCTCACCTCATCACCATGAGCAGAGTCAGCCCAGGGCGGCGTGGCGTCGCTCTGGCAGTGGTGGTAAAAGGAGTAGAAGTAGGTGGGCGATCCATACTGAGCGTGGAGGTCAGCTGTGGCAATAGCTGGAGCCACCCATTGGTGGTCAGTGAATAACGCTACCAGGGTTTTCCTCCGAGTTTCAGCATTGTCACGATCTGCCCAGTCTGTGTACATGAACCTTTAGGGTGACATTTCAAATAAGCCAGATGGTTAGTCTACTAAAGTGGAGTCCATTTATGTATCAAACAATGTCAGCGCTGTATTAAAATAATAATAATCTTTACACAGTTCATAGGGTAACAGACTATTCATAGTTTAAGTTTAAATGAATTTGACATTTTTGGAGTTGATTTTGTTGGTTTCTTGGTGGTACTTTTTATAAACACTGACACCACTCATGCATTTGTGCAGACTGGATGTTTAAAAAAGGGGGTAAAAAAATTAGCAGGACAATTAAAGCTCACTGATTAACTATGGTGTGACTAACCACATGCAGCATGTTTTTATTGTGCTGAGTGTGTTTTGCTGTGACTATTTCTTGGCAAGACTCCGCTGCTGTTCATTGTGATGACAAGAATTAAGCATGTCACAGCCCCAGGCCAAGAAACAGTCCGGCTCATAATCCCCTGTACAACCACGAAAGGTCGAGTTCACACTTAAATTCTCAGACCAATTAAAAACATGGTTAAATGTCAAAATAAGCTTTCAAAGAGCTTGTAAGCTGCTTTTGTTACCTTTTAAATCCTATTAATTCCCACTGAGGGGCTAAGTAAGGGTAAACTGGCACCAAACTGGAGTTTTAAATCAAACATACAGGAATAAACTGAAAAGCATATTGATGTTGTATTTACATGGACTATTCTGAATCAGAAATCTTCATGTGAATGCAGAATTTCAGGTGTTTTGCGGTCTGTTTGTGGTCTGAAAGTACCAATGATCCAATTAAGCAGGCTTTGGTTGCAGACTTGAGTTGACTTTGTATGTAAAAAGGTCAGTATAACTCATTAAAAATCCCAAAACAAAGGCCAACAGTCTAGCTTTTCATTTTATAAACATGAGAGCAGATGACAGTCTGGTCCTGTATTTGCCTCTTAACTCAAACTCCATTCTTGCATCTAAAGTAGAAAGCAGACTTAGAGCAATGAACTAAAATTAGAAATAACAACAACAATAATAATGAACTGGCCAACTAAGGAGGACGTCCTCCAGTGCCAATTACCCGATAACTTCCAGCTACACCAGAGGCCTCTAAATATTGGCCATTGCCCTAAGGGGCAAAATCATCCTGAGGTAATGAAGGACAGGTTCAGAGATGGATCATTCCCAGACTCGCTCACCTTATGCTCTCTCTCAGTGTGTCTCGGCCCTCTGGGTATCCATACAAGCTATCCACAAAGTCTGACACAGCAAAGTCAAAGTCCTCAGCCGTGACACCATCCTCTGAGTCCACGATGCCCTCCACAAACTTCACGCCCTCGCCCTGATTAACCCCCAGCATCACATCGTAGTTCAGAAACTCTCCCTGCTCCATCAGAATCTGGGGGTCATCCGGTATGACATCGCCATCAATCACCGGGGCGAAAGCCGTGTGATATTTGGCTGGCGTTACATTCTGCTCCACGAGTTCCCGGTAACTCCGGCCCTGGAGACAGTCCACAAGTTGGGTGCTGTCGTCAATGCCGCAGCCCACCCTCTCACCAAGCTGCCGTGCGTACTTGCTGGGCTGGTAGTTGACGGCCCAACTAGCAAGAGCACTTCCGCTCTGGATGATTGCTCTGTGGAACAGGTCTGAGACACACATGAACACACACATGAATGCAAATAAGGGGTGTATTATAAAACCTATCCTCTAAGGCATCAACATGGATGCATTAATGGATGCATAAGCACCCACACACTTATGCATGAGTGCACAACCACATGATTGCACACTTAGACAGCTACACAAATCACATGCAAACCTAATCAGATGCAGAACAAGCATTTCAACAGAAAAAAAGCACCAAACTCCCCAAAGTGAATTGTTAACAAGGAAAACGGGTCATGGTGAGAGCTCAAAGTGCAAGTAGGAAAGGGTTAAATGTTTTAAATAATGCAGCTCTGAGCTATGTGAGTCAGAGTCATGCTGTATTATTCAGAGGACTCAAAAATGTATTCAGGCATTTATATTAACAAATAAAGGCTGCATCGGTGTCAAGGAGACTTTTTAAAGTTTCATAATGCCCACCTTTACTAGGGCCAACAGGTTCCTTACTGTCCCCCTACCTTTACTCACTGTGTATTCAAACCTCTTCAAAATATAATGTACTGTACTATTACTGGAGCCCTGATGATTATTTTTTAATTAGCATTCACTGAAAAACAAAATAAGTCATTACACCTAGATAAGAAATAATCCATTTCCGAGCTTGATCTTAAATTAAAAAAAAAAAAAACAGATATAATGTGTCAGATGGTGTAAGAGGTACTGCTAGGGATGCAGTAATGTAAAAAAAAATCAACACTTAGACATGACATTTATTGATCTTTAAAAAGTTGCAGAGTCTGTTTGCCATGGACGTGATTTTTTGGGTGATGAGAGTTTGGTTTCAGCTTTCTGGTCAATGAATCACTGACCGATCCAGGTGAGCATTATTAAGATTAAACAGCCTGTATGACGAGAAGAGGAGGCTGTACACATCGGACGGAACACAATCATGATATTTATAAGCATTAATTTAAAATATTTGTCAACAATTCTTTATACTTTATATATTTTTGTATTTTTATTCCATTGTATTTTTCATACTTTATTGCATATTATTTGTACTTCTTTGGGTCAAGCGGTTGTCTCATCCAGGGCATTTCATTGCATTGTTGACTATGTTTAACCTGCATATGACAAATACACCAATCTTATCTTGAAAAAAAGTCTTATCTTACTTGGATGTTTTTCTGTTTTTTTTTTTTGTTTGTTTGTTTGTTTGTTTGTTTAGCTCTCTGTCTGTTTCTTTAACCAAGTATGTGCATTTGTGCAACGCTACAGGTGTTGACAATTCAGGCCAACATGAAACGATGAAAAACTGCCTCATTAAATTTGAATTTTTTTTTAAATTGTTGATTTTTACAGACTATGTCAAGCCTGAGAAATATGTAGTATTAGTTAAATTTGGGGAACAGTGAGCTGGCTGACTGTTGGCTTAATACTCGTCTCAGTTCCATCTCTTTGCCTGGTTGAAAGTTTGATGGAGGTAGCACTCCTGACATAGTGGACACTTCATAACACCTCTGCAGGTGCCTCCACTGAGACTACATCCATGTTTTATTCACTAAATGATTTATACCAGTAAATGAAAAAGAAACAGAGATCTTGAAAGTTTCATAACCCTTAATCTCATAACAGCCAGCTGTAACAGAGACAATAGGTGCCAGACTGTCTTCAAAGTGCTAAATCTTTACACGTTTGTCTTACATAATTCATCCTGAACAAAAAGCACTGTGGTAAGCAGGTTTTTTTTTCCTTACCCTCTGAGTAGTGAGACAAAGTGAGCAGGCTGACACAGGACGCTCCAGCTCCAGATCCAAACACGGTGACCCTGTTTGGATCTCCTCCGAAGGCTGCAATGTTCTCCTTCACCCAGCGCAGCGCCTGGATCTGATCCAGCAGGCCGTAGTTCCCTTTTGCTGCCTGATCCCCTGTGCTTAGAAATCCTACAAACAGATAGAGGAATGGTGTAAAAACACGCAGTGGAACAAATTGTATTCTGGTGTAAAGACTTAATCAGCGCTTGATTGCTTTGTTGAGCGCTGAGCGAAAAATGAAAAAATCATGAGACATTCAGACTGCCTCAACCTGTATCATGATATCCACTCAGTTGAATCAATTATTTATGAGTTGAAGGGAAAATTAATAGAGAGTCTCCCCTTCAAACCCACTAAAATGGGATCAAATCAACAAGCTCTGTAAATATTCATGTAGGTTAATATCAACTTAAACACACACACACAGCATAAGCTCACTCACACACACACACACTTTAAGGTACAAAGGCAGCTATCCCTTATTCCCCTTTCTGCTGACGTTGTCAAGTAAACACAAAGGATCCTAATGGCTCACTCTGCTGCTGTATATCTCATTACTGCAGACGCTAATTTCTCTGAACCTCGAGCCAGCCCCAAGCACATAAGAGTATAATGAGCAGGAGAGAAAAAAAGAGCTGTGAAAATAATACATTTCATCACTTATGTGCAATTTACCAGAAATTTCTCTCATGCAAAAAGGACATATTAAGAATGTTTCATTAACTCGATGGTTTATATGGTATTATTATTCCTTCATAAAAACTGTATGATCTGCTTTTTACTGAGATTACTTTTTCTGTTATATCTTTATTTAACTTTTATACATTAACAAAAATAAAAACGCTACAATCCATTTGGAGTCAGACCAGCCAAAAATGTGCAAGGTTGTTCATTGCTCTGCCAGTGTGGACTCACCTCATGCATCCATGTTATTATGACAGTAACGATGAGGAGGAGGAGGAGGAAGACGGGGAAGACACTGATACTCAGGATGATGGATTGATGGCACTGATGATGAGTGTAGGTGATGAAAACAGAGAGGATGGAGATGACAAAAAGAAATATGTAGAATCAGCTGCAGAAACTTTATCCCCAAGACTGTACCCGCTAAGCAGATGCAGATTTACGCCACCTTGTAAATTTCATAACAAATGACAGCCAACAGCAGCTAAGAAACAAAAGAGTCAGTGTGAGTCTTACAAACTCGAACCAGTTTTTTGTTTCATGTTTTTTCTTTTGAAAAAACTTCAAATCAAATTTTCTGCCTTTCAAAAGAGACTTTTTGTCTAATAGAAGTGGGACCACTCAGTGGCCTCCCTCTGGAAGACAAACGTCTCATACAGTATTAATCGTCTTTGTGTGTACACATGTTTGACAAAATGTGCTAAAACTGCAGGAAAAGAGAATAACTGCAGTGAATAATTTAGAGAGAAGTAGCAGCCAAAGGTTGGGGAAATTCTTCATTTACCTGGCTGTCTCAGACTGTCTTGGTTAATCTGTATACAATATATTTGATCAAACGCCTTTCCTCTTTAACAAATGTACTTTCTGTAACATAGACCCTCATTATAAAGCACATTCAACAGAAGATGGAACATTAAATTCTTTATAGGCTCAAACAAATGACCGCAGACGTTGAACTATGATAAGTGCACAGATGGTATGTGTAAGACATGCATTGATTCATGATGACTGAACTGATGAATAAAGGCAGGTTTGTCTCATAAACTTGTTTGATCTGAATAAACACATATTGAAATTATCCCTTTAGTCAAAATGTCCCAACTTACAATACCCTGATGATGATGGTTTTGATCAAGGTAGATGGATTTCAGTCACATAAGAGTACTGATTGAGCCACTTCATGTATGTATTTTTTCAGGCTTTACAAGTGAATCATGACGTAATCTTGATCTGATTTCAAGTCTTTTTTTTTTTTTTATATCGTGCTATTTTGTCTGTTTTGGCTCACTGTGAGCCAAATAAGCTGCTGCAGCATCTTTCTGCTGCCTCTGAGCATGAACCTACAGCACTATTAAATGGACTTTTTACTTTTAAAAACTCCGGACAACTCACTTGGCAAGTCAGGAGTCGTATGCAACAGAATTGAATTACCACCAAAGTACTACAAGTTCAGCTACCACAAACAAGTGGAGCAGGACCCATCACAAAACCTGGCAGAGCGCTATTTTGGAGCATGCATTTGCCTCGGACCTGTGAATGAACTAAAATCTCACTTCACTGCTGAAGTTTTAAGAGAAGGATTTCTGTTGCTCAGTGTCTTGGAGACAGCCATGGCAGATGTTGACTGACTGGTTGTTTTTGTCTTTTCACCTTCCTCAGATTCAAACAACACTCAAAGTCAACAGAGCTTTGAGGTGCTTTTGTCTGTCGTGCACTTTCCTGAAATGTGCGAGACATTCTGTACATGCACTCCTGGATATTTCTCAGAGTGTAACAGTGTTATCCTTTCACCAACCAAAGACATAAATAAACATTGTTATTCACAGAGTGAGCACTTTGCAACTGTCTCTTATAAGTGATGGTTTTAGACGGCACGGGTGTAGCAGTGCAGCATTAATTTGAATAATTAATCCAAATTCAACATTATACAGCCCATTTGATTGCACACACTTAACAGTAATTGGTTTAATATGCAAAATCACAGAATTTTATGTTGAGATTAAAATTCATTCGCAAACAACTCTTGAAATTCAGGGGTTTACGGAAATGAGTGTTTGACAGCCCCTAGCATCTATGTTTTTTATTGAAGTGTTTGCATCTTACTGACCAATTTTACTGAACCCAAACGCTTCTTAATTTGAAGAAAAAAGGGTAATTTTTGTGCTTTTAAAAAAAAGCTGAGCTTAAAAGTGTCTGAAATACACTTCGATAAAACTGAAATCCAACTGATGCAACAGTGAACGACCATTTCAAACACCTTATGTGAATTTAAGGTTTTAGATGAGGGAGCTGTTTACAGGTTAACTGTGCTATGTTGCATCTATGAGATCTTTAACATCTTGTTGGGATACAAGTCTTTTAAAATTCATCAGGAAAGCATTACTTAAGTTTATCATTTGTACAATTGTGTAAAGTGCTACCATTAATTGAGGGCAGTGTATGTGCATTTTATTAACCTGCTGGCCCCTTTTAAATTCATGTGAATTGCTAAATAATATAAGAGATGTACGATGCCAATAAAATGCTCTGGTCTTGCATCTGACTCTAGTAAAATGAAGGACTAACCCCTCGACGTTTTCCTGAAATGATGTCTCAAAGGTGTCCTTTTAACCCCTCTGGGTCCCAGTGTTGCTAATGTTTATAATTACAGCCACACAAAAAAAAGTCTAAATGCAGAGACCCTGAGATTTTCTATTTATTCAGCCTGTGAGCTTTGCATGATTTCTAAAATTAGAAAAACCTCTGGGAATCAGATTTTCCCCGTTCAGAGAGCAATGAGTCAGAGAGTCATGGAGGTAAAAAGGATCAGATCTGAGTCAGTGCTAGTAGTGGAAAAAATTGGCTTCGGGGGGTTTATTTCCACTAGGGACACCCATACTGAACATGTTCTCACTCCAAAAAAAAAGCAAAGAGGCACTCTGGGTGAAACACAAACAGTTTTCTGCATTTTATAGCTTGTTGAGACACAAAAACAGATGGTTAATGTAAAGGAACAAGGGTATGTAAATCCTACGTAAAGAGAGTTCCTTTATTCAAGAGAAATGCTCTAAAAAACTCACAGACTTAAGAACAAGTTGTTTCAACCAGATCTAGCCTCTAAATAAACAATAATTAAAGATCTTACTTACTTACAAAAAGGAAAAGCAGAAAAGTGAGTCAGGCTAACAGAATCAGCAGATGTGGCCTACAGAGATTTCTCTCTTGAGCATTTGGTTTTTGTGGTTTGCTGTGACATAACAATGTGATTCACTTTCAGATCTGTGTTCCGAATCTGTATTTTTTGCATTTGCTTATAAAGTATGTGAAACATTCAGAACTGTAATTAAATTACAGTTTTTCTCAGCTGCTTTGGATCATGACGGTTAAAATTCAATTATTCAGTTCCTCACTATATTCTGTTTAACATGCAACAAACAGGGCACTCCTCATTCATCATTACCATGTAAATGTTTCGGCTAACTGAGGCCAATGACTGAGCACAGTTGTCAAAAATATGACAGTTAATTGTCCTGAAAGACTTTGTGATGGAGGACAATTGGGTTTCTGCTCAGTTGAATAGTTCCACTCATTAAATACTGTGTGTTACAATTTTTCATTGTTTAGGTCAACACATGCAGAAATATACTGTGTGACTAATATAGTGTTACTGAGTGCATCTTTTTAACATGTGTGGTGTTTCTATGGTTTTCATCTTATTGGGCTTATTCATGGTTGTGTGCAGTTATATAGCCACTTTAATGTTAAATAAATTGTGTTATAGTGTGCCATCACTATATGTGTATATATCTATATTTAGATTTGTGTGCTTTTTTTATATTCCCCGAACAGACTAGATCAACTTCCTGCTTTGTAAAGTGTCATAGCATAGCTTGAGTTGTAATTTGGTTCGATACGAACACTAAATTGACTCCACTCTTGTATTACAAATTGGGACGTGAAACCTCAGAAGCTTTAAATCAGCATCTGAAGAGCGTTATCTTTGATTCACAGAAGCCTTCAGTGAGCTTCAGACAAACAACAGTCTGGTACATTTGGCATGCAATGACAGAAAAAACATTAAGGACATGACTGTTTGGAAATTAAAGGATGAAAAACGCACTTATGCTGTCATCCTGACAAGACGTCTACACATTTTGGGCAGCTGGGCTTTTCACAGTCTCACAAAAGCATGTCTTTTTGGTTCGTGATGACTTATTCATTTATACAACAAATACAATTCAAGGCATGAATTAGAAGTTTTGGCTGAATGAAAGTCCTTTGAGGTAAAATATATTATTTCATTGCATTTGTAAACTGCTTTTAGCAATGCATCTTCAGGGAAAGGAACATTTTTTAAAAGGTTTTTGAGAAGTGTGCCAAAGCAATCGAGAAAGACCATGAGAGATACATAATAAATGCAGCGTTAACATGAGGAATCTTCAGACGGCACAGCCATATTTCTGACAGTTTCTGGAATATTTCCAGATGTAAAATAGTGATTGCAGCTCGTACAGGCCTGCACTCTTGGCCTTATTCAAGGTGTTTCCTCCACTTCTGCTTAAGACTGCGCTCTCATTTCAGGTGTTTATGCATCTCAGATAAAAAGCTACACAAGGCCAACTGGCATTAACCTAAGAGGCGTCAAAAACATGCACCAAGAATGAAAAATTATATGTTAATGACATATAGGGGGGAGTGCTTCAATGAGTTAAGGACACAGGGGTTTATTTAAAATGCAGCAACACCCATAATATAAGCCACATACACTCATATTATTACCATAAAGCACTGCGGTGTGGAGCAAATGAGATGTGGATATAGAAGATATATTATTTTACCCAGCACTCCGAGGCGATAGTTGAGGGTTATGACAATGACGTTCCCGTAGCTTGCCAGCACACTGCCATCCATCATGTTTCCTGTGCCTTCTGTGTACGAGCCCCCGTGGACGTAGACCATCACTGGCCGCTGCCCCCCCTCCTCGTGGATATCTGCAGAAAGACAGGAGAAAGAGTGATTAGATAGATAGATAGATAGATAGATAGATAGATAGATAGATAGATAGATAGATAGATAGATAGATAGATAGATAGATAGACAGACAGACAGATCATCTTTCTGAGTGTGTCACAGCTTTTGATATCTCTTTAAAAAAGCAGAACATTTTTTTGCTGCTGCCTCTCTAACCTTCACTTTGTATCATTCCACCTTAATTTCACAGCAGATGGATTTAAATTGAGGCCGTAAGAGTGTTCATGCTTGCCATTGTGCGTATGTGCGTGTGTGTGTGTGCAGGATCACATGCATGTGCATGAACCAATATGTATGCATGAGTGAGCGCGCGTCCTTCCCACTTTCCTCCACAAGTAAAAGAGTAACCCCCTCGGGACTGACGCAGGTGTCTGCATATTAAGTATTGTTTTGACCATGGGCAAACGAAATAGAGGAGCTGAGGTACTTGGTCCAGGGGGTCCACCTTTCAAATAACACTTTGTTTATTTATTTAACAAGGGTATGTGTGTGACCTGACAGACTGCCTCTGAGTTTTAATCATATTGGACGGGCAAATTGCCCTCGAAATCACATTGCAGTCAGCCGAAATACCACTTTGCTGCCACTCTGATTTGACTTAATACAATAAGGAATATGCAAGTCTAATTCTCACCCTGCATGCACATTTAAGCTCCTCAGAGAGCACACACTCACTCACCATCCTCTGTGGGTACGTAGATGTTGAGGTAGAGACAATCCTCGCTCTGGTGAGTGAGGTACGTGGCCGCGATATCCAGGTTTGCTGTGAGCCAAGACGGCATCATATCTCCCAGCATGCTCCTTTCATCCAGAGACTGAGGGCACACCGGAGCGAACTGTGTCACGTTTCTTATGCCCGGCCAAGGCAGGGGAGGCTCTGGTGGCTGGAAGCGGCGATCCCCCGTGGGAGGCCTTGCGTAAGGTACTCCCAGGTACTGGATAACAGGTCCCAAGAGGTCGGAGGGCAGCGGGGTCAACATGCCTCGGATGCGGCCCTGCGCCGTGGAGATGACAGGCACGGTCTGCTGTGCCCAGTAGGGGGTGGGAAGGAAGGAGAGGCAGAGGGAGAAGAGGAGGGATGGAAATCCCAGATAGGGAACTCTCCAGGTCCTCAGCTTGGACATAATGGTGCGTTCAGGGGTGGCTGGGAGAAGAGGGATGCGAGGGGAGGAAAAAGGGAGTAGGGAAGGGTGTTGACCCTTTAGAGGTATCCAACAGTCACACACAGCTGCTGCTCAGTTTGGCCCATAGCACTCACAAAACACACAACCCTTACTCTTACAAAAACAACCTTTTTTCTCTTGTGTATGTCTGCGTGTGTGTGTGTGTGCGTGTCCGTGTTTGGTCCTGCGTGTGAGTCAGTGGTTCTGTGCCTCTGAGTGTGTGGTGACTCAGTCAGCGAGTCCCTTAAATGTGTGTCTGTGTGTGCGCATGTATGTGTGGAAGTGTTTAAAGCCAGTGTGTACGTCCTGTACTGGCGATTTGAGCATGTGTACGTGTATGTGTAAGTGTGTGTGAGTGTAGTGTGTGTGTGTGTATATGTGTGTATGTGTGTGTGTGTGTGTGTGTGTGTGAGTGAGTCTCTCGTTATGTAAACAGTAGCATCACTGTTCCTCTGTCACTCTCTCCTTCCGGTCACCCCCATAACAAGCCTAAAGTGCCTCCTGGAAAAGAGAAAAAGAGCGACAGAAAGGAAGAGATGGAAAGAGAAGCAAGAGGAGAGGATTTAATTAGTCTTCATTAGAATAATGGCAGTGTAAGATAAATAAAATGTCACACACACAGTTAAACATCACATCAGGAGAATAGGCTGTGCCACCTCGCTGCTGTTCACGTTAAAAATAGATATGAGAGAGATAGATAGGGCAAACGAGATGTTGTCCGCTCAGCTTAACTCTGTGTCAGACTGTCAGGGCTGCTGTGTCAGACTCACACAAATGCCTTGTGTGTGCATGTGCGAGTGTGTGTGTGTGTGTGTGTGTGCACCCAGTACGAGCTGCAGACATATGTCACATCCTCACTACACACACTGTTCCGCAGATCACAGGACCTGGTGAGGGTGGGTGAGTGGGTGGGAGTGGGGGGTGTTTAAGAGTCACGTCACATGCTTAATTAAACCCTGGATACACTGTGAGGCTGCTGACCTGCATGTAGCATAAGGTGGGAAGCCTGTAACACACGTACACACACACACACAATGACTTTGTTCTCTCTCTCATTCCTTTGTAAAAACTAACACACACCAACACGCACGCACTCAAAGATGACTTTCTTGATCCTTCCACATGCTTACACACACTCTATCTTTCTTCCTCCCACTCACACACACACAGCTGCTCCCCAGCCGATACTGCTATCTCTCTCTTAGGGCCTTAGGGCAGAATATTAACACATACACAAACGCGCGCGCGCAAAGAGAGCAACATTAATTTCCGTGTTGGCACGCGCACACATCCAACAACACACACACACACATATAGCCCGTGGTGAGATATTAAAAGTGTAAAACAGATCTGTACTATCGCTCCTCCTCCTCCTCCTCTCCCCATGTTAGATTGTAGTGGTGTTCGCTGTCCAAGGTGCTAGTTAACATTCCAGTGGTGATCACACACACGCTGATGAATAACGCTCCATTTATCAAGGCAAACCCGCCTGCCAGCCCCCCCTTTAGTATTTTCGTAAAGAGAGAACAAGATAAAAGCTGCTCTGTGTGCCGATTCAAGGAGCAAAAGAAGGAAAAACCAAAGAAAATTACAGAGCAAGTGTGAAAAAAACGCTTGCTTGTGAGTTAGAATACCCTGTCTGAAGCTGACTACGGCAAAACACACACACACGCACACACACACTCAAATGCAAAACCCCAACCTGCAACCCCGCTGCAGTGAAAGAAAAATCTCCAAATGACAAATTACAGCATGTATAGTCTTGCGCCTACCGTACCCAGCCAGGGTGAGGGGTACGAAATCCCGCGGAGCATGTTCCCGTTCTCTTTCCACCGCAATATTCGCCTCGTGTTTTCGCTGCTGCAGCTTATCCGACGTGCCCGGGATGGGATATTGGGAGATATTCCTCTGCTGCTGCTGCCTCCTCTGCTGCTCCTGCTGCTGGTGGTGGCGTTGGCACGTCTCCTGGGTGAGAATAACCCAAAAAGAAAGAAGAGGAAAAACAAACAAAGCCTCGAGCCTTCAGTCCGAGAAAAGGTGGAAGAGTAAAAGAGAGGAAAAAATTACGATCTGGATGAAGAAGGAATGTCTTTCTCCAAGGAATGCAAGGCCCAGGACGTTCAAATAATCAATCTCCCTCTCTTCCTTTCTTTCTCCTCCCTCCCCCATCTCTCTCACTCTCTCACAGCCTCTCTCTCTCTCTCTCTTTCCCTCTCCCTGAGTCTCTATCTCTCCCTTTCTCTCCCTAGATGCGATTGGACAGTGTGGCAGGCAGCAGCTACTGATCCAATGATACGCACCTAGCTCCTGTGAAGAAGCGCAGACTGGAGGGAAGAAAAAAGGGGGAATGGGGAAGAGAGGTGGAAAGGAGAGGACCGACCTGTGCAGGGGGAACACACACACACACACACACTGAGAGAGAGAAAGAGGAACACGCCGTCTTCTACAGTACAAGGGTGCAGAATCACACACAAAGCTCCGCACGTTTTCACATACCTGTAAAAGCTCTCATTGCACTTACAAAACATGTATGCACAATTCAATTAAACTCCTTAAAAACACTCTAACAAATCCGTATCAAACACATACCCAGCGTGCTCACACATACACCAACGCACACACCTTGACACATTATCTAATGATGCTGGGGTAGCAGTGACCTCTTCAGGACCAGAACAGGAGATTTGTTACTATTCTTCAGCTCCGCCTGCAAGCAAGCTTACTCCCTAAGGGCCAGCACGTGTGTGTGTGTGTGTGTGTGTGTGTGTGTGTGTGTGTGTGTGTGTGTGTGTGTGTGTGTGTGTGTGTGTGTGTGTGTGTGTGAACGTGCGTGTATGCGCGTGTGTGTATGGTAATGCAGAGGGTCTGCAGTCACTACTAACTGTGTTTGGGAACACTCCTCACGTCAGCACAGCCTGCCGCAGCAGCATTCAGAACTTTCTATTCATCTCCTCAACAATCTCCCGTCAACCTTTCCATCCATCTCTTTGTCTGCTGAGCTGACTCTCTGCCTCAACACTGGTGTGCCCTCTACCACTGGTGGACAGCGGTGGGCATCCAGTGTCTGCCTGCCCAATTGTATCTTTTGGAAAAAATAAAATAAAGGCCTAATGCCTTTTTGGATTCACCTAATTGTCATGATCTATGTTCTGGTATTTAGTTTTCCCCTGGTTTTGATCATTTGAGTTTTTCCTATTGTTCCTGTTGCCCTGTAGTCTTGGGTTGTGTGTTTTCAGTTTGTGTCTGACCCTGTTTACCTCATGCTCTCAGTGTTAATTCTCTATTTTCAGTTTCCAGTATTTTCTGTTGTTGTATTTTTCAGTAGTTTATTTCCTGTGTTTCTAGTATTGTTTTACTTCCTCAGTTTTCCCTCCTTAGTAATTGTCTGTACCTGAGTCTCTGTGTCTCACCTGCGTCTCGTTGCTTGTTTCCCTGTTTGTGTGAGCATATATAGTCCTTGTCTTCCCCTGTTTCTTTGTTGGTTCATTGTGTTGTATGTCAGTGCTTCTGTGTGTCTCCAGTGTTTCCAGTGTCTCCAGTCTACAGATCAAAATCAAAGGATTTTTTTGGGTTATTGTGTTTCTTGGGAGTCTTTTAGTTGGACAATTTGAAAAGTATTTTTTTTCTTTTAGTTCCTTTGAAATAAATCCTCATTTTGGTTCTGCATTTTGGGTCCTTTTCTTTTTGTTTCAACCGGGATCGTGACACTAATACCATCAAGATCTAAATGTGAAATCTGTCAGTCAATTTTGTTATTTGGTTTATCTTGTGGTACTTATCATGCAGAGCAGCTCCAGACCTATCCCTGCGATATTATTTACAGGAAACTTTCCTGTTTTATTCCCACATGAGGCTGGAGGCAGTTCTGAATGGCTTGTCCAAAAAGCCATATGAGATTTCTGCTAAATCAACAAGATTTAATCAAGTTTGCAAATCTCTTTTTTAAAAGGAAAACTTGTCATTTGACAAAAAGGCAAAAAAAAAAGTTGTTTCATGGCAACAGTGAAGGGGGCTACTAGAGTGCTGGGTTCCATAATGCCAGCTGAAACGAAGCATTTCAGGCTGACAAAACGTGTCTTCTCAATCAAGTAAAGCCACCACAAAGCTATCGGAGGACAATAAAGCCTAAAAAGTGACCTTAATTCCCCCCTTTAAGGTTAAAGTCTTACACCTCTGTTATGCTGCACTGTCTGGGTAAAATGATACTGAGGAGAAAGACTGGTTGGGTGAAGTTGTACTAGTGTGAAGCAGGTATCACAAAGAGAAAAGTTTACCTTGGGCTCTATTTTCGTGCCTCGCCAGAGATGTGCCACAGGCGCGGTGTAAGTCAGGTCCGCCGCGCCCACAAGGCGTTCCCAAGCACAATTTGGTATTTTGGTGAGCGGCGCAGCCCAGCGTAAGTATCCCCCCTCCCTAACTCAGCTCCTCCCAGCGGCGTAAGTCGTAGCGAGGGAGGAGAGAGGGCGTGGAGTGGGTTTAACGCAGCCGAGACCTGTATTGACCAATAACATCAGCTCCTCTCCTCACCTTTAAATCCGCCACCGGCGAAGCGTATTACTATTTTTGTGAAGTAGTCAAAGAGATCAAGAGATGTCTGAAGACAGTAATGCCACACGATGGCGACAGAGGGCAGCTCCTCAACAAGTGTCACTGTAAGCGCTGTAATGGGCGTCCTCCACAGTCTCTCATATGAGCACAGATGGATTTGGTGTGTGTAATGTTGGACCCACTGGTAAGACAAACACCCTTTTCCACAAATAAATACACTCACATAAAGTTGCACATATTCAAACCTCATGTGACAAAGGTGGGTTGAGCGCACAGATCACAACATAAACTCCAAAAATGGCATTAAAATCGGAACCATTTGTGCGTAAATGACGCATCGCACTCGTGGCCCTTGGCCCTGGCTCTTTCTTTCATTGATGTTGGCATATAAAATAAATTTGGCTGACAAAACTGAATATTATAATATTCGTATGTAGGCTTAAAGTAAATAACTCCTCTGATCACTGAAACAAATCATCTGTTCAGCCGCCGCAGCAGCAGCTGTAGCGGGACAGAGAGAGGACACGGAGACATGTCCAGGTCGCTGATTCTGTCGACACCTCCTCCTGCCATGCCAACACGCCCAGCTTGGCGGATCTCAGTTCACCTCCATGCACCTCAGTCCACGAAAATACCAAAGTGTCTGTACGCTGGGCTCCACCAGACGAAAATACAACTGCGCGGCCTCATCGGTGTACACGAAAATAGAGCCCCTTGTTTAGATGAGAATCTCGCTCTAATTGCTTACAGTGAATAAAACACTTCAGCCCCTTTCACACAATTTAAAGTTTCTAGATCATTTCTAGGCGTAGTATCACCAGGAACTTGCTATTCGACAAAAGAAGAGCGTTGTCATTGTTGTTTTATCACTACGAACAAGTAGCAGAAAACTAAATATGATTGGTGCTGTTCAAAGGGATCAAAATAATGACGAGAAAGATAAAACCGACTATGAAAATGTTGATGCCTGTCTGCATTTACCTGTTCCTCTTTTTCACCCTCTGCATCTCCCACAGCCTCCTGCTCATGTCTCCAGCAGTCTTCTCTCCTCCTCTTCTTACTCGCTCCCTCCCTCTTTAAACAGGTTGTCCAAATATCTTTTTTCACATGGCAAAGTGAAGGTGAGAGGTGATTTAGAGGGATGACACTGACTTATAGCTTACAAAGCCACAGGGCCCCCTGTAGCAAAAGCCCTGTCACTCATTCTTTTTAACCCAGGCTGCCAGAAAAGCCCTGCATGAGTATCTAAGGCTGTGCTCATGCTCGCGCTGGATTAAGAGGTTAGAGTTGTAGCTGGAGGTGAGGCCCGTACAACGCGCAGAAGTTATCTGAAAATCAGAGGAATGATTTTAAAACCACCACGCTGTGAATGTCGGAGCGAAAAAATAAGCTCTGGCTGTTTGAACTATCGAGAAACGTATCACATCTTCTTAGATTGGAAAGACAAATAAGGCTTCAAAGGATCTGAGACGAACATCTCAGAGGGCGTGCTTCATCTTCGACTTGAATGTGGTTATTTTACCAAGCTGAGGCAAACGTGGCGATTTGGGAGAGCTTCTCAAAGGTTGAGCTCAGATGAAAGATGACACCTGAAGTCTATTATCAGGGTAGTGGATTAAAACAGACCTCAGAATTTGATTTGAAATAGAATCAGGAGAAGAATAAGGAGCAGGCAAAAACTTCTATTTTTGTTTGAGTATGGAGCGGAGCTGTTGTGTTTTCTGACAGGACTTGAACTGAGATCAAAGTTGTTTACTGGTTAAAGATAACATCCATCTGATGGAATATAAAACCCTCATGTTTGAGCATGGGAGCTGAAGGGTACATAATGTCCTTGAAAGAATTAAACAAAAAGAATCAGAAGTAACAGAGAGTAAACATCCCTTCAGAATAATGTACAACATGACTCTCGTCCTTGTGGTGCCTCAGGAAAGGCAAAGATACGATGCCCTCTTCCTGCACTTGTCAGCTACCTCAAATTCAAGTTGTATCATGACTTTTTGTGATAGATAAATAATGCTGCATGCTGTAAGTTTGCAGTTTCTGTCACTCACGGCCAATTATGCATGATGCATAACATTTTGTACATAATAATCCATTGCAGATCTTGTTTATTGATTTGGTTTTTGCAGAAATTGTATCACAGATATCATAATTGTCATTACAACGTTAGAGTACTTACAGTCATCATGGGAGTGAGGTTGATCTCTCATCACTTTCCCCCAAATTACTGTGCAGTATAGTCTAATTTTACGTTTAAAAGACGTAACATTAGACTACATTTAAAAATGTGGTGATTTGCACTTGTTTGATTATTTTGTTGGCTTTATGGAGTGATTTTGGTGTGTGTGGAGTCTCTCCCCCTTCTCCCCACAGAGGTTGGGCAGCTCCTCTCCTGCTCTGGCCCTTCCTGCACTGATGCACCTCATCACGTTAATCACCACCTGCACTTAAGCGCTGCTGAGAGGCTTCTCGGCGCCAGATGATTCTAGAATCTTCAGTGGTATCTTGGCCCGTCTACTCACGAGTGTTTTTGAGCCTTTTCTAGTTTGTGTGTGTGTTACCTGCCACTAATCCCGCTCTCCTCCTTCCTCCTCCAGTGCCTCAGATCTTAGCCCAACCTCTACCACGCTGCCACACTCTTGTACCGGATTCACTCACCTGCCTTCCCCTCGAGCTCTCACACCTCTGCCTCCACCTCACCTAAGATTCTGCTTTTGGCTTCAGCTGTAAATTCTTATAAGGATATCCTAACAGAAAATACCATTTGAATGTATGTTTCATCTGTTAAACTAAGCAGTAAAAGTCAAAACAGATCAGTTTTCAAAAGTGATGGATGTTCTAAAGAACTTTTTATTGTGTGGAAACAGCACTGAAAGTACAGTACCATCCTGTCATCCATTTTCTTCTGATTGTCCAGGATCAGGTTGCACAGGCAGCGGTCTAGTGGACCCAGACACTCTCTCTCTCTCTCTCTCTCTCTCTCTCTCTCTCTCTCTCTCTCTCCCCTGTTAGTCACGGTGGAACAGTAACCTTGCTGCTCTGTTTCATCTCCTATCTTTATGCTGTATCTTTCTGGGTGAGAGCAAGCAGTGAGCGAGGACACAAAACACACGATAAGTAAGGTTTTCCAGTTGACCAGAGGTTCACATTCAGTGTCACTTGCTAGGCTGTAGGCTCAAGCTAGTGTTACAAAACTTGGCACGCCTTGGGTGACTGGTAGTATTACTTATATGCCTCAAGCTGCCTGTCTGGTGATATGCAACACAGGTGCCTTATCTTTGCTATTGAGTTAACTGAACTGTTGTATGCCAATCATGATAACACTAAGGGTGTTTTCACACCTGAAAGTCCGGACAAAGGTCCAAACCAAGGTCCATGTTTTTGTTACATTGTTTACATTTGGTCCAGTCTGTTTCGGTTTCACACGGTCATGATTGCAAACGGACTAACAGACTTTACATGGTGAACCTACGTGATATAGTCATCAACTACAAGCTTTGCATGTCTCTGTAGTTTACATTGATTGTCATTAGGCCGGCGGGCGTCTGACGTCAACATGTTGAAAAGCGTGGGTCTTGAATGTTGTAAACATTGATGAAATTGTCATTCCCACCATCGTACTATTTTTGATTTTCTACCTCCACCAGCAACAACTTGAAGAGCTGTACATGAGACTGATTGAGGAAGTCTCTTGAATTTGATCATAAAAAACAACTTTATCGACATCGACAGGAAAGGAAAAAAAAGTATGCAATCCTGCCAGTCATTGCAACACTGGCTCGGGAGAAAAGTATGTGTAGTAAAACTCTTGAATAGTTAAGCTGTCAATAGTGAGGTATAACTTAATCTACAATATTATAAAATTTCCTGTTATTAGACAATCTCCATTCAATGGTTCCATGGTGACCATGGAAACTGAACCATGGTTCAGTTTGGTCTGGACTGAGACCACATCTTATGGTTGGACCAAGGTCCAGCTGTTTGGTCTGGACCAAGGTCCTGGGGAGGTTTCACACCTATCATTTTGGCTTCAACTAAACAGAAAAGTCTGAAAGTTCGGACCAAACAACGTAGGTGTGAAAGCCCCCTAAGAGACTATCCTTCTTGTCAAGTAATGTCTCTGCGCATCAGTTTGCTGAAAATTACAAACATTGTACTCTTTCTTGCCCTCAAAACTAGGAGAGCTATAAACAGACCCAACTATAAAACTCTATATGTGGTTGAGTGTGGTGGTTTACTGGTCCCACCCTCCACTGACATTCTTTGTAACAAAATAAGGTTTAGTGCCTTTTCTCTTTAAATGCCAAATTAAAGCACATGCAGCCTAGTTATTTTGAACCTATTTACTCTCCAGTTGGAGCAACTAAGTGAAGCTTCTACCGTCCCCATGTCAACAAAGAAGCTGGTTAAAACTGCTATACATGTCACTGAGCATTATAGGAGGTTAATGGCATAATTGTTTTACTCAGTGGGTCTTCAATCAAATACAATCATCAGCAGTCCTTTTATCTCTCTAAGTTTTATTCAGTTCAAGTACATAATTCAATCAGGTAAATCAAATACAACAATAGTCCGCTGTGGCAGTGTGAACATTATGGAAATGGGTAAAGAACTTTAAGTAGTGTCCTTGAAAGCATGAGTACTTTTCATCTAATCAACAGTGGTTTTCCAACGCTGCTTAACAGCTGTGTTGGACAATTGATTCAGAATTTCTTTCTGTTTCACTGAAGGCCAAATGACTCATTTAAGTGTCTACGTGGACATTTCTTTTCTTGGTAGAGGGGGGCAGTAAAAAATAAGATTTGAAAATGTATGTTT